CAATTTATCGATAATCTATTCTTTTTTTTATTATGAGTGACCACCAGCTACTGTAAGAAATCATAGTCCAGAGTCAATGACACGACAAAAAAATCATCTATAACATTTATTAACACTTTCATCTGAGTTATTGATGGTGGTGATATTGCATATATAGCGTCAAAGCTTGTATAACATACGGGATTATAACATATCACCAACATACGATTTGATTATTTACACACTATCCTTTTATTCTCTTCATTTATTTAAGATGTTTCTATTTTCTTGAAGTTCTTCGGGGACGTGTGTTATTGGGTTGTTTTGATTCCAAGTTTGTATGTGCCAAGGAGTAGTGGCCGCTTTCCGACCTCGATTGTTTTCTAAGGGTAGATCGGTTTCCTCCCACTTCTAAAAAAATACAGTTGTACCATGTGTTAGTCCCGAAATACCCTAATTTGTGTCGAGTGGACATTACACCTCCCCCACCTCAGAATTTTAATTGGCTATCAACATTAGGGACAGGTAAGAAGGGCATACATCCCAAATGTTATACTTTTCATGGTACCTACTGATCACCACATAGAGGGTATCGAATCTAATTTATACCCATGACTCAATGTATTAATGAAAACTCCTCCAGATAATATGTTGGATTAGAGATTATATTTCACCAGACAGTCGCCATGCAATGAATGCGCTTGTGTCGTCACCAATACCAAGAGAGGTTTGTATTTCACTTCATTCCCCAGTGCGTCTCAACGAATCTTTAATGAGACTGAAATTCTAATACATGTATCAATAATCCAATCCGATTAATCAATTTTATTATTTCCGACGTGCTCATGATTAAATATTAAATAATAACCCTCGGAATACAAATCACTTCTCTAACTTTTATTTAAAATAACAAAAGTCATCAATGACACTTGACTTAAATGCAGTATTTTCATGTCCACCACAAACACTATGTCGGCTTATTTTTCTCTTGGGTTGAATAACTGAATTCATAATGATCATAAAATTTGTTACTTCGCTACAATGTATTGTGTTTTCTATTTGACTTGATCCAACCCTTGTGACTTGGCTCGGTTTTATTAATTATATTATAGCCCAGTCCTCCAATTTAACGACATGAGTACAAAAGTTACGTTTTCATAATCTGGTGAATATGATGATTTGTGATATGTCAATTCAGTCATTGTTTAAATCAAAGTTACACTATTTCTTTTCTATCACGCAGACTCCGAATATTGAGGTGTCGGTATCACATCTCCCGAATTAATAACGTGTTCATTTTGAACGGAAAAGTTGTATCCGACAGTCGTGGGTGAGACAACATGAGGAATCTGAAAATTACAGAGCTGGAACTATGATAAGAACCTCGTCTGGTGTATGTCTGTTATTTTATTATCATAGATAAAATGAGTAATGTGTAAGAATATTTATTATATGGCCAAGAGGCGAAATAATTATGAGTAATTCTATAAACGATTCGAGTAAAATTAGAAATTCTATAAACTATTCGTGTAAAATTAGAAATTATCTGAATTTGGTCAAAAACAAACTGTCAGCCAGTCTTCTTAATGTCAATGTTTCAAGTTTGATAATGTCAAAACAGCAGTTATCAAAGAAATATCTCTTCTTTATCACTCTTGAATCAGGTTAGTTTCGAGAATGCGATTTGTCTTTTATACAGAACTATTTTTTCATCGTGTCTTCATGGTTCAAAAGAAATGGTCATTATCTAAACTATAGCAATGATTTATTCTTGGAGATGACCAATATTGTTGTAAGTTTGTTACTATCTATATCAGAGATACAAGCGGCTATGACTGCACTGTATATTCTTAAGAATATTCTGTCCAGGGAATTACAATCAAGGTATACTATGCGTATGTATTTATACCACAAATACTGGCTTTAAAATTAGGCCAAATTCCCGGTCAAAGACAATCCATTCGAACAAGAGATACAATAATTTACACGTGCAAGGATGTATTTGTAAAGATGGACTACCACATTCTACGAAAATGTCTTAGCTATGTGAACTCTTCAAATGAAAAGTAACATCAGGTATTCAAGAAAGAGAAAGTCTATAATGTCTTGTGGATTTCAGAAGCCAAAAGCCGAGAGACACTAGATCAATAAGTTAAGAAAAATAAACCAAGTTCAACTAGGGTTTAAAATCATGTACATGTATGTAACTATGTTTTAATATTTAGTTATCTTTATTCAGTTATGGCACTGAAGAAACATTTCAAGGAATGCGAATCTATCGAAATATTGTTTTTGACTGTATGAATATTCTCAAATAGGGTATATGTCTGATTATTAACATGATGAAATCCTCTAAAATACACGTAACTTAAATACATCTGAATTTTACACGGTGTGTGTTGTACAGACAGTGAAAACCAGATATTAAAACTACATGAAAGCACTAACAGATGTCGTAACTCGTTTTCTTATATGTGTTTGAATCGTGCGATAAATAAGACACTACTCGAAGTGCCATAAATATTCCACTTAGATAGAATTCTTTTTTTTGTAATAACAGCACCTGGACGCTTGCTACACAAACATACAAATTTACAAACGATGATAAGCTTAAAAAAAAGTTGTCCACAAAAACTAACTTGGTGAGCTATTCAGGTAAAAAGTAAGCTTGAAGCACATGGCTGTTGGAGGTTTTGCTTATGTGTTTACTGACTATCAGAAAGAAGTTCGTTTAAGTACACGTGAAATTTATCCTTTATAGTGTTACACACAACTGCATCTCTTGCCACTGCCATGCAAATAGAAAGTAGGTTAGAATGTTCGATGGCAAGTAATTAAGATATGTCTTCTTCATTACACCATCATCACTACCATTAGCGCCGATAAGACCTAGACAAACTAACCCGGTCATTGAATAGTAAGGTATTAAGCTATTTATTATTGTGTACGTACTGTCAAGTTGTAGTATATTGATTGTGATAATAAATCTTTTAAAGATCACTTTAACCATATTACAGGAAGATCACTTTAACCATATTACAGACTTTAACCATATTACAGGAAGATCACTTTAACCATATTACAGGAAACATAATAATCTGATATCGAAGAAAATTTGACTATGGATTATACAAGTAATTTCAAAATTAGAATTACGTTGTTGCAGCATAACACTTCTTTTACAGTGTAACTTAAGACTACCAATGTACCCACCATTGTGGGATGTTAATATAAATTGTGTTACTGCAGCATTGCACATCTTTACAGTACATTGCCAACCATCCTTGGATGTTAATGTAAATCTTTTACAGTGTAGTGTATAGGCTACTAATCTACCAACAAACGAGGGATGTTTATATTGCGTAAGAAAAGAACGAACAGGCCACCAACATGTTTTGGTATTTTATATATCTCTGTGATGGTATTTTTGTTATCCCTAGTAAGAACAATACAATTTTGATCTGACTTGGTGCACTGGTATATTGTATCTGACACTATTCCTATGTTGGCTTATAACCTGGTATATTATTATATCCACATCTATGCCTCTGTTAGTTTTGTACTTGGTATTACCTCCGTGGACGATTACAAAACTTTACTTCTTCCAGAAATGTTACAACAATAATGAAAATGTGATATAGTGCACGTATTTTGTGAAGTCAAATATCGATACAGCCAGAATTTCAAATTCGACAAAATTGTTATAAATTTTCATAGAAAGCCGTAAGCATAGACTATATGATACCTGTAACAGTAGTCGTTCGAACGTAGTTGCATATCGACGGAATTTCCCTTAATTCTATGCGCTAAGTTGTTAGGGGTCACGTGACTAAGAGATCATCATTTTTCGAGTCTGCAAACACGCATGGTAGCCGAATATTACTTAGTGTAGGTATTACCGGATCTAGGGGGGGGGGGGCAAAGTGGGACAAATGTCCCGGGGACCCCACATTTAGCCCCCCCCCTACAATTCTGGGTCATACTAATATTTTATCCCGGACTGAGCTAACCAGTACCTAGGCTGAGGGGGCGAGGATTGGGGCCTTGGGCAGTAAGTGATATTGGGGGCCCCGGGACTGGTAGGTACCAACAGATTTTCGAGGGCCCAGGAAATCGCTGCCTAAATTGTGTCAGATGCACTGAAATTAATCCTAATTTTAAAAAAAAAGTTCCTGGAGGAAAACACTCCAAGCACTCAAGGGGGCGGAGCACATACTAGTACGATCCGCGGTCAGTACGAACAATTTGAACAAACAACAATGGGTCCCTCGCACAGTTGGTATGTTCCGCCCCCCCCCCCCCCGCACAAGGTTAATCCGGCACTGAGTGTAGGCACATGGAGGTATGTTTGTACAGTTTATTGAATCAAACTGCTTTCGGTATATTCGCTAACGTTCGATAATCATTTTAGTGTATGTATTAGATATTAAGTAACTTTTTCGCTCGTATATTTTCATTGTTCGCGTCTGAGAGAGTTCGGATAGCCCGAGATCGTCATTTCATAATCTACGATGATACGTTCGATTACACTACGTATGCATTGAATGATGATTGATGTATTATTGTTGTTGACTTCGTCCATTAACATGTCATAGTTATTAGTCGAGACATCCATGTTTTTTTTCGTTCGATAAAGCCCATAATGACAGTCGCTGTCCTGGCTGCTACCATGGTGCATTTCTTCATTACCATTCGTTTGGCAGTGGCTGTCGTTACAAAAAAAAAATACATGGGGTTTAACGTCTAATCGACACAAACTAGGTCATTTCGGCACTAATACATGGTTCAATTTTATTTAATCGATTCTCTTGTTCGTAGGGGTTTTTAGCAGTGGGAGGAAACCGGAGTACCCGGAGAAAACCCACGAGGTTGGACAGGCGAACCTACTACTTGTCACGTACAACCGGGGTCGGATGTCGTTACAACACTAGTATCTAACTATAGGTAACACAATAATACTATTATAAATATTGTGAGTTTGTAATAGATAATCTAAAATAAAATAAGTACCTAGGGCTTACCTGTTATAACGTGTGTTAATAAACACATTATTCCTAATATAGATAAACGTGATGCCGGGAATATCAATATATCCATTATGGTTGTCATTATTATATATTTAACATCTTAGCAATACACTTGTTGATTGGAATGTAATGTTTTCTTCATAAAATAATCACTGGAAAGGGATTTAGTTTCACTCAAATACAAATTACTCAGATTCTGTATTCTGGGATTATAGTCACTGCCACAGAAACAATAATGTCAGCATCACATTTTCAAGGATCTTACGGTAGAGCGCTACTGAATCTGAAACAAGAATAAATATATTCATTTTAATGTATAAACGTACTAAAAAGTCATAATCGTTTATATATATGCAATACAAATGGTTATAATACAAAATCGACAATGCTGCTTTTTTTTAAAAAAAAAAGTGTAGTCAACGGTGATATATAAGAGACAAAAAGGCAAGTATCTATATTTTGAAGACATCTGGAAATTCGTTTCAAAAATAGTATTGTTTTGGGTAACGGTAAAGCACGTCGGCAATTATAAGATTCCCAGCATTTGATTGTTTCTATATTTAGTTCATTAAAAGAAAAAGGGAATTGCTCGTTCTTAAATTGTTAAACATTTTTTTCTGAAACATAATCCATTCTGAAAACATAGCAGAGGTAAATGAGCTATTATGTACATTGTGGCTTAAATAGTCTGATAGATTAGTAAAATAGATGAAAACCAGAATGAAAAGATGCTAAACTTTTATACCTTGAAGTATGCCACTAATTGTAAATTCTACTAGAAAATCGTTACTATAGTAAACTAGTCTGATTGATTTGATTACCCAGATTTCTTGCCGCCAGCCATATTTAGTCAAATAATTATAGAACGAACATAGAAGGAAATTGGGTTTTCGTATACCAAGAATGTGTGATATTTGACGAGTGTTACCGTTCCACATTTCTGTTTAAGATTGATTTATCGGTTCCAGCTTTTGTCAATGCAAATAATTTCTGCTCTAGATAAGATTATACTATGGGAGCTATGATGATTTGGTGCCAGATTGTAGAATTATGTGAACTTCGAAACGACAAGCACGGTCTAGTGTTTTTCGTTTGTAACAAATTGCAAGAATGCGTGAAATAACACGATAAGCACACGCATTTCTAGAACACATAAAGTTAGCACGTGTCATCTCCGCCTCTATCTTCAGCACTATCCGGGCTAATGAAGACAAGACGAGCCTGGACAAGCCGAATTTATAGTTTGTGTCAGTCCTTCCGCCCTGTACTATGACAAGGGGTAACCGCGCTGGCTAATCCCGAGGATGAACCCCAGGACCTACTCACCGATCTACCTTGGCCCCTTCCCTGTAACGAACTCAGAACAGCTTTCTCATTTATGATATAATAGTACTAATAATATTGCTATTACTGATACTATAAGGGTTATTAATAACACCAGATATCACTCCACGTCCATAGTTTTAGTATGTATTTGTAGGTCACATGTCAGTGCAGTATGTCTAGATGGTCTAAAAAACGTAGTTCCAAGTGTATGTCTTGGTTCTATACACATGCAAACAGATCCCGTATAAACATAATGAAGGAGAGATAAACCAGATATACACAACTGTTTGGTTCTTTCTTTTTGGTGTTGCACTGTCGAGTGATCAAGTGTGTGCAGTGTAGATCAGAAGGTCTTTTGTTCATGCATATCGGGGATTCGATTCCAGGCCTGAACATGTACGTGCTGTGGAACAAAGTCTTCTCAGGTCACTTAGATTGCTCCCCAACCTCCAACGACCCCCCCCCCTCCCCGGGAACTTGGTGGAAGCTACCCCCACCCCCCTTTTCCTGAATCTTTAAATTCCACTCTATCCTAACATCATGCAATTGGTCTTATTCCTAGATGACGATATACACAGTAAAGTTACAGTAAATGTTTGTGCACTAAAATAAGCCTTTTATTCAATACCAAATAGCTCTGAATGGGTACAAATCTGTGTCCTCCATTTTTCAATTTATTTACCTAATATTAAATAGATGTGAAAATAGTTGTTGTATCTTGTTTATCTCGGGAATATATCCCTATATCCATAAACACTATTTCCAATATCTGATTAAAGAATTCCCAAATGCCAGGTGAAGAGCTTGGGATGTCAATCAAGTGTAAAATTTACATTGTTGTATATAATCAATGTCAAGACAATAGCTATGTAAGGATATCAACAACAGTGACAGCATAGGACAATATGGGAACAATATATACTAGGTTCTACAGGTAATAATATAACATTAGCATCCAGAGACTAGATTCTACTGGTATCAATGGAACATTAGCGTTGTTTTGGTATATTTACATATTTTATTTTGAATTTCTACATTCATCGTGTGGGGCTGAAGCAATGTGTGGAATACAAGGAAATAGACAGAACCTACGGGTGTATACCACATTCGTAAAATACAAGGTATATACAAAAGAAAAAAACAAACATATGTGAAAATATCTCAGATCAATAGTTTTAAATATATGCACGAGCACGAGATGGGCATTTCCGCCCCATTCCATAAGTGCGTGATTCGTGTGGGGTACTACAACACATGTTAAACTTGAAGTGGGTGCGGTTGTGGTACCAATGGGAGCAACAAATAAGTACAACCAAAGGTCATTTTGAATGCAATCTACGTACAAACCGAGGTCCCTTAATGCAGTATAAGTACAGACTGGGTCTTTCTTTATACAAACTAAGTACAACTACAACCAGATGAGCAGATGTTAAAAAGGGTACAAACTTTACCATTTTACCAGAACAGATCGAAATAATAAACACAGATTGGACAAAATGGTATGTGTGGTCAATACATCCGTTAGCGGCCTAAGCTAGAAATGTAACATGTTTTCAGAATTTGAATAGGGCCATGCCGGTATAATTTCGGGAGGCACGTCCTTTTATCTGGCAATATGATTTTTTATAATACATATGGTGCAGCGTAATGGCACCATACGGTTCTATAGCTTTGTAATGTTCCCGATAAAATACTGTTTTATTCACAAAGAATACAAATGGTCAATTGTAAGCTCAGTATCAACAATAATATACCATTTTATTCTAAATAATCACGAACCATGTTTTGTATTGTTATAATCAAGTATAGATTATATAGCATTTTATGAACAGATTGCGTGACAAACTTGATATATGAATGTTCAAAATGATCGAACTTATCGATATTTATGAACAGCGTCGTAAATCTCATCACAACGCAATATACCATTTTATCCGACGACATACAAATAACCCATTATTGGATATAACGACTATATTATTTTTAGCTAGAAGTTCAAGAATGAAATGTCGATTAAAGGGGTATACAAAACTTATGTTTAGGAACTCATATTCCAAACCCATACAAATTAGAAAATAAAATGGGGTTTAAAGTATACCCAGTGAGCTGATGATGACGGACATACACCATACAGTGAGCTATAAGGCACATTTTGCCCGGGTAGCGTTGCTACGGCCTTACTCACTGACACACCATGCACTACACTATCCATATATTTATTTGGATAGATTTGTGTTCGCTGCCCAAGAATCGGCACGTTCTGGTTTATGGTTATACAATACATTACTATATTTGACGAAGAATCAGGTAACTAAGGAACACAAAGGGGGCATGCACGTGAAGGGAGAAACGCCACCTCCCGGTATGTAATTTCCCTCATTTAATTTCACTAAATATGTCGTTCACTGTATGTCACGTTAGCTTCTGTTGAATTCTGGCTCACTAACCTTGAGATCCCGTGTTCGATCTCAGTGTTCGGTGTGATTTTACGGCGTGCCTAGGGACAACGTATAGTCGTTCCGATAAGACGAAAAACAAAGGTTCCGTGTACACATCGGCGTGCACGTAAAATAACACTTGACATTTGGAATTTGTAATAAGAGTAGGCCGCAGTGCATCTGACGTGACCCCCCCCCCCATAACACACTGTATGGAGAACAGTAGGATGTTAAACCCCATTTCATTTCATTTTCTGTTCTACTCGGACTATAGATAGTTATAGACTACCAGCGTTCGTGTAATTGAGGTCGAATAGCTGCATAAGAACTGCCGTTGGCTTTCCGATCATGGTTATACCATGGACCTTATAATACATTATAAATTCCACGGTTACACATGCAAAGTGAAAAAGAAGAGTTTCCAGAGAAATTTAAGCACAGATGTATACGGATCTCATGGGCATATGATCGCGGTATTTGATACTAGAAACTATTCTGAATATACGCAAAACATTGACACACTAATAACCCTTACGGGAGGACTTCAACAATCGATTTACAGCTACTGGTCATCGTAACAATAGAGCACAAGACAATCTATTGTTGCAATATTGTATGTTAAAGACTACAGCTAATGATATCACGTAATGATAACCCGCTGAGATAATAATCAACTCCAACATCATAGCATCGATCAAACTAATCGACAGGATTCTATTATTATGTAATTGAACGATTCGACGGGGTTTGTATTAGAGCACAAAGAATTAGAAAGTATTGACGTTTACAGTTCAGCTACTTGATTCCTTTACAATACTACACATTACCAGATGATAACCTAAGATCAGATAACAGACACACGCTGATATCTCCGTCTTCCTATTAGAGCTGGTAAAACTGAAGAGTTACATCTGTACAATACAGCAGTTGAACAAATAAAAACAAGAAGTTTATGTGATCAAAATAACCAGAAATGCTTTTCCCTATCTGATACGTATGGTGGGCTCATTTACACGCGTTTCCAATATTCTCGATTGTAACACAGGGAGAGAGAGTGAGTTGTGCGTTGGGGTTGTTACCGGTTCGGGTTATTCAGAGGACAAGAAGAAACCCACGAGGTTTGAAGGCAACCCTGCGTCTTGTCGCGTGAAAGCCTTGGACATAAACCACGTCTCATAACCTGCCTATTGATCGGAAGTCACATGTTGGACTACTGTTCGATTGCAATATTTCTCGATATAATTCTTTAAATTAAAATCGGGTTCGCAGCGTCAGAATATTGCTTTGGTGTTAATTCAATATTCAAAATGTCAATTTAGTAATCGTCATATCTAAATATTATGATGAAAGGGTGGATACCTTTAGAAGATGAGGTGGCAGGTTACCACATCCTCTCTAAAAACACTTTAATGCATTTTTTAGTTACCAGTGTTAATATATAAAAGTCACTTTGGCGTGGGTGGGTAGCATTTGGCTTATAATGTTCAATTCCTATTTTAATCTTTATAAGCTTACCTGTTGAACTAAAGGCATCATGTGGGCCTACTGTGTTTATTGTTTTGTATGTATATAATCAGTTTATATAAAGCATACTTATACATAAATGTATCTTATCTATCACTAACACATTCCCGAAACCGTTTCTTGCATTCCTCAACAGTTTGGTCAGTATGTTATACTTCCCAAGAAAAACAAACCATTTTATTACTCTGTCAGATTCGCTTCTATACAGTTAAATTTCCACTAATTATATTACACTCATATATCCAGTTTTTAGTACAACGGGGGTTATCTTAATCCACTGTCAGAAAATAAATGGAAACAATCCTTTAATATTAATAAGCGGTAGACGTTCCATAATATAAAACACAACAGGTAGATTCCGCCACACCTGACGTGATGAAAAGACTTCCCAACATTGATAGCATGGCACTCTATACTCTCTACAAGAAACCAAACACGTGCTGTGTGATTCCACCTGTCAAATATGATCTGTAACTAATCAAAACCAACCCCCAAATATCATTGACCAATAACAGTTTGGTAGGCGGAGCTTCTATTTGATCAATGAATGCATTTTACTACTTCAGCAAGACTGATACTGACAATCGTATAAATATAGACGCACAACCAAATGATGGCTTCGTCTACCATAGATCAAATGAATTTCTTTTAATGTCGCGGGATGAGCCGGTTTCCTGTGCACAGAAAGGTGGCGCAGAATTAGTTACGTATTTATTTCGTTCCGCATAATTATATGGCATGCTGAACCTATTTTATAGATTATAACAGCCAAGAATTCATGTATCACTTTTATTTTCATTTTCGTATTGACACACCACTAGCACAATCTTATACTTAAAAGGTCTACCTGAGTCTCACGTTTATTTTCATTTTCGTTGGGGACACACCACTAGCACACATCTTACGTTAACTTAAAAGATCTACCCTGATATGCTCACTGGTGTATTGGTTATTCTGCATGGCTACATTTTACTTGCAAAAATGTCAAAACTAAAATCAAGTCGGATACTGAGTCGGTCACACCCGGCGTCCACTTCGTACACAATTATCTTTTAAGCCTAAAATCAGCATTCCATTCATTTCCTGATATTAATGTCTTGTTTTGCAATTATCTGTCCACTCCGCAATAAACAAAACAAATGTTTATGGATACTTTAACTGATTTTTGCGAATTTAAAAACCGTTTCCCATGTTAACCGAGGCGAGTAAATATGTATAATAATGCGTGTCAGATCCACTATAAGCTTGGGTTTACTTACTTTAACATCAAACATGGTGCAGGGGATTTACAAGAGACTAGAACAGACTGGGTTCAGCAATGGCGCTTGCCAAAGGGGTCTTAGTTATCTAATATAGGTGAACACGGGAACTAAGAAGGAGAATCAATAGCGAAGTCCTTGTTTAAAGAACACATCAACACTATCCAATCTAATCGATAGATCACGACAAGATTAAAGGATGAGAAAAAACCATTCTTGTATCTTATTAAGCTAACAATCTATAAAGCTATTTGATTCTTTCATTATTAGCTTTTATCAGTGTCATTTATAACAAGCTAGTCTTTGATGTGTGTAATAAAAAACCGATCGACTTACTGATTTATACGAAGAATAATAAGGATAACCTTTGATATTAGCCCAACTAAGTGATTAATTTGTTAATAGGGTAAACAGTCTTTATAAAACGATGAATAATAAAACGAAACGCAAATTATCGATAACCGTTCAGAATTTCTAGCATGTACCAATTAATCGACGTATAGAGCATGTCCACAAATGGTTTCAAAACTTCTATTTCTAATTCAATTTTTCTAGAAAACAAGATTAAATTAACGGGTTTAATAAAATCCAAGGAATTCTCGTTCCATGTTTCTGCCATGACTCATTTCATTTAATTCACAATTCATGGGTTTTCCCATGTTTATTAGCCGTACCTTTCATCTGCAAAAAACCCCGATCCGAATCGATCGCAGCCTGAAATTGATCATGGATAATCCGATAGCAATTATTAATCAATCATTTAAACCTTTGTGTTGATGAAATAAAAATTAAAGTTGCGAAACTCTTCTAGCATGTGCTTTGCAATTTGATATGTTATTAGCTTGCCTGGTCAGGTATCCATGTCATTTGAGTTAGGTACAATATGCGTTGTGGTAAGACCGAGTTCAACTTGACAAGTGTAAGTACTTACCATTGAACATGGCAATGTCCTGCAATAAACACCGATTTCCGAAGCTGAAGTTACTGGACAGTTGTTTTACTTGTTTAAACATGCATTATGCAAGAGCTAAATCTGCCTATCGCAGAGGTCTTTCTTTAGGCCTGAGATCTTATCTAAATTATTAATTAGACATTAATTAACTTATCCAGACCATAATCAACTCTCGATGTCAAGGCTAGCCTTCGATATCGACTGGATTAGAATCATATATGCTGCAAACGCTCATTGATAATTAAATCAAAACAATGGATAATCGAGACTATGCTTTTTAACGTACTAACTTTAGTAATGATGAACGAGGCTAGGCGGAAATTTACCAAGCTGATATCTCGGTTCATAGTGGACCAATTTGACTGAAATTTTCAACAAATTACCTTTACATTATCTAGTTGTTAACTATTATAGCGAGAACTGTCAGCTCTTTATCTAATCTCCCATAATGTATCTTTAAATAATACAAGACATAACCTTGGAATAGAACCTAACAGTGAAATGAGAACATGATTTGGCCCAATTTAATATCTTAACGTTTAATGGTAGATATAAAGCTATCGATGTACCTCATCGATTGACAACTACTATCACCTCCAGGTAGATGCTGATAGGACCACGTTACAGTAAATCTTCATGATTAACTGAAGACGTGTTGATAGAAGATGAATCATGATGATAAATGTAGTTGTTGAAAGATCACACTATGGACAATCTGTTAATATTCTCAAATAACTCCATCAAATATCAATCTAGATGATAATCAAGTAGATGTATAGATATATTATCTCTTGTTATAAGTAGTTTGATAGCATACAGATTTACAGGCCTGATTTTCCGCTTTATTATTTACATATACCGGCAAACGAAGCTTTACTTCCGAATATACAACATTATGACAAGTAAGTATAAGCAAGATGTTAATGATGAACTTATGTCAATAAAACGACGCTACTCTTCCATGGCTCACTACATATGTACAATAGGTTTCAAATTATAAATTAAAATAAACATATGAAATTAGAGTTAAGACAACAACACAATAATAGGTAAGAAACTAATGGCGAGATTATAAAAATGGTATGCATCTGTGAGTTTCAGTATGCTATGGGTCGTATACAACGAATATAACATAAAGACAACTGACAAAATGGTCGTCAATCTACCGGTATTCATTCCTATGTTAAAAGAAAAGCAATGTTATGTAAATCAATTAACTGTGTACATACACCAGTCCTTTCCTAGATAACAGGGGCGGATCCAGATATTTTTGCAGGAGGGCTTTTGCCAGGTTTCTGAGAAAATGTATCCCCCCCCCCCCCCTCGGCTTGAAATTTTTTGAGAAATACATGGTCTATATCGTCATTTTGGCGTATATACATACACATTGATCTTTTTAGACAGAGAAATCCAACATCCTGTTTGAAGTCAATTTTTATTGTGAATTCATACGATGACATTGTGATTCAATGCTATTGATGCAAAGCATTAATTGTGATATCACATATGTCTATATCATTATCTCGCGCTTTGAGTGCCCATCCTGTCGCACCATCTGACGATAAAGTATAAAGCAGAATTATGACACTTTTCTCATCAAAAAGGTTGTTTTACAAAAAAATATTATGTAGCTGAGCAGGGGGGGGGGGACTCCACCCCCCTCTCTGTATCCGCGACTGGATAACCGAGACCTATCTCCTTTTTGAATATTGAGGGATCTGCAGAACTAGATAATCTAGATTATTTTAATCCCTTTAACATTTGGCCGAATTCCGTCACATAAAACAACCTGGTGGGTATAAGCTATACATGTAGTTTTTATTATAATTTTTGATCTAGACCAGATACATTGATAGCATAAAGATAACAAGTTTAGCAGACAGCAGTGTAACTGACATGATAGACGTTGGTCATCACGGGGAACTGATCATGTTACTAGTTGGTTGAGTTGAACTAACGGCCATCTCATGACAAGTGAAAAATGAATTCATTCCAATTCACCGCTTGTTTAATGTAATGTGATCTGATGGAATCTTCTTTAAGTACACGTAAAACATTCATAGCACTAACATCTGTATTTTACTTTTTTTATGTTCTTAATATTGACATAGATATCAATTTCAACCCATGTGATGTTTTAACATATTTGTCATAATTTAGAATGTAATCTTCAAGTCGAATGTATGCATGGAAGGATAATAAGTATATATAATGATATCCTTGATAAAAAGATACGATGGCTCAACATAAAATAAGCTATAAAATGAAATGAAATGGGGTTTAACGTTGTATGCCATGCATAGTGCTATAAGGGACATTTTACCCACACAGGGACGTTTGCGAATGCGCTTCATGGAATTCCAACTGCCAAGGGTTGTTTTACGTACACGCCAACGTGTACACATGACTTTCGCTTGCCCCCCTCCCCCTAAATAAAAGAAAAAAAAACCGATTTCACAACTGGCACGGGGACCAACACCAGGCCTGAACCTAAACCCAGTGAGCTCACGTAGCGCCTTACCCACCGTGCGTCACAAATACAATTAAGCGGAACAGTTTTATAATATAATTTGTATACACATCCTTTAAAATGTGTATACAAAATAAAAGTACTACAAAGAGAAATATTTATTTTTATTGTTAGACTTTGACTACACACGTCTTCAGAATTTTGTTTTATGATAGTTGTAGTATTTAATATGAATTCAGATTTGTCAGTTATCTGTTTGATCTGCTTCACAGTCTTTAGACGCGATTGATGATTGTCTCTTAAAAGCATTTTCAGGCAATATGTTGTCATCCACGGTTTGCAGTTCTAACCGAATGCTTGAAGAATATAAAAAATGTGGTCGATTTATCCCGGCGGGTATTAATTAAAGTTCTTCAGGAAAAAAGGTGTGATTAGTCATAATGATGCAATGGGGGAAGACAGAGACTTAAGATACAGGACATGTCGTGTTCAGATAACTGACTGGGGATTTTTACTTCTCCGGAATAATTAATGGAATGAAGACAATACCTGTGCCACCACCTGCTAACAGGACATTTTTATATTACACCAATTACTGGAGTTTTTCTCTCATTTCTTTACTATTATAAAAACAGACACATTACTTTAGCACGATTGAAAGGCTCCGTGTATTTTTTCTTAAGGTTTCCCTAGACGTGAAATAATGAGCTCTGCTAGATTTATTTCC